TCGTATAACCTTTATCTTTTTAGTGTTTTGACTATAGTATCATCTTCGTAAATTAAATATTTCAATGACGCTCTCACAATCTGACGACTTAAACATCATTTTCTGTGAGCTGGCAATGATATGAATGAGATATTGAAAAACCAGGTTGAAATGGGTCTAAACTTTGCTTATGATAGTTTTAAACAATTATAATGAATCGATGAAAGGTAATCAGCTTAAGCATATCAACATTCTGAAATTGTTATGAAAAAAGTATGTTCAAATTTCACGGGAATGAATTCTTTGATTTATTGATTACAACCTAGCTGCCTACAGCATGCTTGAAACATGTGAAGAAGTGCCAAACATTCTCGATTCTTAACGAATACCAATAATTCAGTGAAAACTTACACATTACAGGAACTGAACTTTGTGTTTGAAATTCATATATTTGATCATTTTTCACATCTATAGTGGTGTAATGCAAATCAGTATATCAACAACTGTTAATTCCAATAAATAATAATGACATGGCATTTGGTATCCCTTGGATCATTCCAAAAACAAAACACAGTAAATATGTCGCAAATTTCTTGAGACCTGGCTCAGATTTGACTATTTGTGACACTTTTCAAAAATATTCTTTATTGTTTTTTTAAATCAATTCAATAACACATAAATTATTTCAGCATTTTTTTTAACCATTCTATAAGATTATTTTCTGATATAAAATTGTGTATATGATGTAATAATGACCTACGGTGCAATCTAATCAGCTTGGATTAACCCACAACATCTTTTGTATTATAGAAATAGTAAAAACTGAAAATACTAAGACACTTAAACACGGTTAGCAACGGAATGCAGTTTTTCCCTGTTAAAGCAGTGATATAGTGAGAATAAGTTTTTAGAATTTCTCAGTCCTTGAATGACACTTGTGAAATCACTTTTGACAGAACATTTCAATCAAACTAGACTACAATAGAGAATACAAAGGATTTTACTTATATTTGGCTTGCTGTTAGATAGAAATTTGATACCACCTACAATTAACCTTTAAAGAACATTGTGAAATAACAAATGTCATAATGGGTTTTTTTGGCAGTCCCTGTTTTCTTAATCTATCCAGCAGTGCAATGATGGAATGGTCTTGCAGAAGAGAAGTACCAGAAAACTGGTCTCCTTATAAGGAAACAAGGAAGAACACCCTACTTTAGAACTACACAGGTTATATGATCACAACAGTACATATTACCCAAGATATATGTCTTCTCTATAAAAAGCCTGACAAATTTCGTGTTTAATATCATACTTACAAGAAAAGATTACCTATGCCAAGGTATCAGAAGAGCTGTTTATGAGTTAAATCTTGACAAACAAACATCTTCCTTTCGTGAGTACAGCACTTCACAGATTAGTAGGGCTAAATTGATTTTCTGGAGACGGTTGCACAGTTCTGTTACAGTCATATTTTAATTGTTTTCGAGTTTAAGGATGATTTGTATGCAGTTTCTGAAGAAAAGGGGTATTACTAAAAGCCAATTATTACTGCTGCAAAAAATGATGAATTTAGAGAGGGAAAAAAATCCCTCTCTACAAATTGGGTTTTATTGCCAACAAGAACCCAACTTTACCTGTATGCACCTGTATATTTACACAATCACAGAAAATAATTTTATTTAAAGCAATAATGCCAATATTTCCACATTTCAGGCTCAGCATCCTAAAACAAGAGGCCCAAGGGCCTTAGCGGCCACCTGAGTTATATCATAGGTACTGGTAGCTTTATTTTATTGTTTAGATGTGATGTGGAAATCAGCATGTAAACTAAGTGAAATACAATACTTGTCATGTCATCAAAGGATAAGAATTTGAAAATATTGGTAAATGTTCCCTTTGGGGCCCCGCCCTAGCCCCTGGGGATGGGGCAGGAATCCCAATTTTNTACCCCCTCCCCAAGGGAGAACGGATAGCTCGGGGGTCCTGAAATTTACAATTTAAATAAAGCCCCTGATGATTTTCTTTCCATGCAGAGAAAATGAATGTAGTACCTCTGAGTCTGGAAGTGAAAAATTTGGAAATATTTGTTAATTTTCCGTTTGGGGCCCCGCCCTGGCCCCTAGGATTGGGGTAGGAATTTCAATTTTACAGTTTGAAACCATCTCCCTCCAAGAATAATTCTCATCAAGTAAAAATAATTTCCTACAAAAAGTTGTCAAAATAGTACCAAAAGTGTTATTTCCCTAAATAAACTATAGTAAACTTTACCCCCTCCCCAAGGGAGAACAAATAGCTCGGGGGTCCTGAAATTTACAATTTAAGTAAAGCCCCTGATGATCTTTCTTTCCACGTAGAGAAAATCACAATAGTACCTCTGAGTCTGAAGAAGAAGATTTTTGAAATATTAGTTAATTTTCCCTTTGGGGCCCCGCCCTGGCCCCAGGGGTCGGGGTAGGAATCTCAATTTTACAATTTGAAACCATCTACCTCCAAGGATAATTCTCACCAAGTAAAAATAATTTCCTACAGAAAGTTGTCAAAATATACCCAAAAGTGTTATTTCCCTATATAAACTATAGTAAACTTTACCCCCTCCCCAAGGGAGAACGGATAGCTCGGGGGTCCTGAAATTTACAATTTAAGTAAAGCCCCTGATGATCTTTCTTTCCACGTAGAGAAAATGAGTGTAGTACCTCTGAGTCTGAAGAAGAAGATTTTTGAAATATTGGTTAATTTTCCCTTTGGGGCCCCGCCCTGGCCCCAGGGGTTGGGGTAGGAATCCCAATTTTACAATTTTGAAGCCTCATCTACCAAGGATGATTCTGACCAAGTTTGAAAAAAATCCATCCACTGGTTCTTGAGAAGAAGTTGAAAATGTAAAAGTTTACGTAGACGCACGACGGACGACGGACGACGACGGACGGAAAGCGATTAGAATAGGTCACTTGAGCAAAGCTCAGGTGACCTAAAAAACACCATTGTTTTACATTACATTTGGCTCCCATGTCCAATAAGACCCAAAGATGCTTCATTGCAAAATTAGTTTGAGATTTACATTAAGTGCATATAGTAATTAGGGTATAGAAAACTTACTCATTTCTATGTTTCTGTAATGGGACAGAGTCCCCTGGGGTTGGGCCAAACCCAAGAGTTAATCCTGGAGCCATGATTGTGTTCGTCTCTTCATACCCAGGAAGCACACAATATTGTTATAGTACTGCTAGTCTACATGACATAGCCAAGTATTATGACTCTAGAACAAATGGCTCTTGAGATTTAATGTTGTAAAAAATATTTAACATATTTGAACCCTGTGACCTTGAAAGGTCAAGGTTATTCACATGAGGACACTTACTTTTCCCTATATCCCAAGGAACTTTAGGAAAAGGATTTTACCCACTAAGGCCCACATTGAAATTTGACCCTAGCCAGCTCTGAACCTCAAACTTTGACAATAACACCATATTTTAGAAAAAGAAATGCACTGCTAGTATTACACATAACATACCCATGCAAGTATCATTTCTACAGACCGGAAAATGTTGTTCATTTTTTTTTAACATATGCAACCTGTTACCTTGAAACTTAAGGTCAAAGTCATTCATATGAGGACTGTTTGTACAAATTCATCCCAGGTACCCAATTGCCAAATATCTGAATAACAAGAAGTCATTTGAACAAAAACCGTTGATGGATGATGGAAGACAGCTGCCATAACATACCATATACGGTCAGAGGCACATGGTACCACTGAGGCAGGCAAGCTCTTACTGCAGCTAATATATTATTGCACTAGTTCTTACAGTCAAACAAAGTCACAGAGGATTACTACATTAATTTAACAAGAAACTTGAATGATGTATTTCTTGCCTTCGATACTTACATTGATAAAATGTGAAAGTGTGACATTTCAACTAGTTTCAGAATATTTTGCCATTACTTAGGAATAGTCTTTAATATGAAGATATTTTGAAATATCATTTCCGGGAAGAATTTGACTTTGCGCCATCTCATCTGTTAAACATTGTATTATGAAAGTTTGAAAAAAAACGAATCTTAAACGATTTAGTTTGTTTTTTTCCAGAAATTTTAGATGTACTGCAGTATTTAAATGAATATTTTTTCTACAAAATGTTGATTCTATTTGAGATTTATAAATTTGGGGTGCATTAACAAACCTGTTTAAATGCTCTAAACAGACATGTATTGCACAGTATCACAGTAATCTATGAAACAAATAATGCATTGTTCTTTATATCAGCCATATAATATGAAATGCACCGATCATAATCACAGGGCTCGACGATTCTCTGATATTGAGTGCTTTTCTTAAAATCTAAATCTATGAAAACAGCCCCTGATGCACACAACACAGATTGGAAGGGTCTTAATAACATAACAACAACCCACAATAACAAGGCGCTGACCTTGTTAGTAAATTATTTAGTCTAGATCTGAAACTGTGTGCTTACAGTTTTGGCACATTCGATGAGGGTACAAAATAACAGCACCAGACATGTCAGATGATGGTATGAATATCACCATCAGCCAGGCACCACATTGTATTGGATGTGTCTGAATGTCTGGCAAGTTTGGTGGGAATTGCTATGGAAACAGAATGACATTGAACCCAGATTCTTGGGTCACGTATGACTGCTGTTGTAACTTGTATTACAGTAAAGTCATTGAGATCTCAAATATGAACAAACAAAGCATTCACAATGAACAGTAAAAAGGATGATGTGTCACTCACTACACCCTTCATTGACACATAACAAGGCTTCAGAATTAACGAGTGAGCTAAAACAGCCTGAGCAAGTAGAATAATGGTATTGGAAAATGTTATGTTGTTTGAATAACATAATTAAGACAATATTATGTTGGAAAGCAACAGGCATAAGGTGATAAATTCCGGGCCTAAATTGATTGTGAAGAGTCAATTTGTAAACAGTGGTGTTCTTGAAATCAATACCAGTGCGGAAACAAGTCAAATTGGCTTGTATATATCTATATATACTCACCGCATAGTTTGACGATGGCCTCCTTGTCGGATGTCGTTGTGGAGGATGTCGGAGGGGAGGTCTCACGATACTGGTCCCCTGTTGACCCATCACACTTGCACATGTTCCTGTAGCAGGCTACAATCTGAGACAAACAGGAATGCATGATTTCTGGAGTTAAAATCTAATGAACACTTTTCAAGAATAGCACAGTGACATTTGGGTAATTGGTTCCTTGTCACTGGGTATTAGACTTTGTCTGATATAGCTCCTGCCCAACACTGCTACACTTTGTCAGTGAAAGCACTATTTCACCAACATCAATTTACCCTTTGGGAAAATTTCCACAATTAATCACATTTTGCAATCTTCCTCACAGACTAATGAACTAAACAGGCTGGGTGTGCAGTTTGGTTTCATCGACATTCAATAGATTTCCAAACTTTTAAAATATTGTAAAGCAAACAATTGTCTGATTTTCCTGCTGTTTTAATCCATTGATTTCCATTTAGTTATAGAAGAAAAAACCAATTTGCCTTGAACAAATCTTGGTCAATAACAAATGCTTGGAGGTGTCTTAGCTATTTCAGCATGATCATTGTTGTAGGAAGGTCAGCACTATGACAATGTAAAGCTTAGTATTGTACAGTCATCTGTCCCCACAACCCGTACAACTGTCCAGACAGATCACACAACTTGCTTATCAATAACACAATGAGGTCCACTCAGAAACAATAACATGTGGGTAAAGCTAATGTAGCCTACACAAATGACTTGGCTTTGGACGACACACGACTGTCTTCACACACATTTTCAGGCCTGATATGTTCTCAATTTGTGTAACGAGCTGCCGATGACGTTAGTGCCGATGACGTTAGTACCAGGGACGTTCATTTCTGGTTGACTGTGACTGAATTAATAATAAGAAATAGTTTAGCTATCCCTGATGTTAACATCACTATTTCCTATTAAGCTGTGAGATCAATATGTTGCCATTGAATCGTATAACAATTGAAACGTTATTGAGATATCATCTCTATATATGCAATGTATGGCAGCACTCTCCGTACACTTGACTCTATTGTGTGCTGTGATGATGGTTTCATTGCTAGTTCTCAGCAAAGACTAACTTTATCGTGGTTATAGAAATCAGTGAGTAAGACTGATTCTAGATTGCCTATCTACTTCCATCATAAAAGGATGCTGCACAAATATGTAAAGTATCCCTTCTGCCCTTAAGTAGAACACAGTCCTAGAAATCACAGATGTTGCCAGACTTTTTCCCCCTGTAGGTGAATTCAAAATAAAACAAACGCTTGTAACACATGTAGCTGGCTGTGGTTCACTGTAAAATCCAATATAAACTAAAATATCAATGCCTTCAACAGCTCCTCCGTCATAAATACATGTACTATAGGAATTAATTAAGTTTGCAAGCAACAATTCCTGGAGCCAGACGTTATCATTGCAATTCCTGTCCAAAGGAAAACCTCAACACAGAGCGCAGAGCAGTAACAGTCCTGACAACACTCTTACTCCATTGATCTGTTTTGTACTGGGAACACTGTGTAGTCGAGCAGGGCTGAGCCAGGCCAAGCCAGCCTACAGATACATAGGCTATATAGTTTCCAGTGATCTTTGAGCTATTGTACCAATGTTTGTCAGAGTACAACTTCTTCAGTGTTGTGTGCGCGTGTGCTTGGACTGTCAAAGCATGTAAAGGATGGGATACCTCAGCGATACCAATGTTGTGATGCCATTTGGCAGCTCATCTTTGAGGCTGCTGCCTGCCCAATATAGTTTTATAGACATACAAGTAAGAGAGAACAATTGATGAGCGTGTCACATATGTAATGCTGTAGATAACACATGTCATCTACATCATCCCATTCTTGACAGATATTTTATCATCTCCTTTTTTCGATTTTTCACACAATCGGAAACATCTTGAACATTTCTGCAAATCTTTCATGAATAGCAATAAATATGAATATCTTCGCTTGGAACGCATCAACTCCTCAATATTATCTACAAGACCGCACCTACGTAAATGTTATAGGCTGATCAGATGAGCCATCATAATCTGGACTAAACAAGACAAGGAGAAAATAATTTCAACTTATCAATCACACTATTAACTAGCCAAATCCAACTTTTCAAAAATCCAGCTGATTGGGTTCTGCACAATATATCAGCATCCATGAACGGTGCTTCCAGAACTATATCAAAATGAACAAAAGATCATAACTCCGTATATTTTAGGCAAAAGACTCAATTTTGTTACAAGACAATCTCCCATCTGAAGAGGTTTTTGCATACAAAATTTGGCAATTGTAGTTGGCAGAGCATATGAAATATATGCCCTTGACAAAGAAATGCACAGTAAGAAGGGCTATAACTCTGTATATATATTGGGGTACAAGAACTGGTTTCATTATGTGACACATATGAGATATATGCCCTTGGCAAAGAAACGCACAGTAAAGAAGGGCCATAACTCTGTATATATATTGGGGTACTGACCTGATTTTATTATGTGACACATATATGAGATAAATGCACTTGACAACGTAATGCACAGTAAAGAAGGGCTATAACTCTGTATATATATTGGGTTACAAGAACTGGTTTCATTATCTGACACAAGATGTATGCCCTGGACAAAGTAACAAACAGATTGACTGATGGACATATTACAAACTTGCATTACTTCTGGAAATACCGGTAAGGGACTAATAAATACATCGTTCTCTATTTGGTCAGTTGTAGAGTTATCCCAATGTTATAAAAGTGATATATAATTCATAGCATTAATATGCCATAATACACCATATAAGCATGATCGCTTTGTGAGCCAGTTTGCAGCGTTATCATGGCATTGATTAAATGTCACTATTACCATGTGTTGACAAACAACCATTCCTATGAACTCAATAGAAAAACTATTTTTCAGTTGTATGTTATTTCATAGGAACACTTGGACATAAAAGTGGCCAGCATATCGCTGTACACCGCAGATACTTCTTCAAAAAGCTTTCTCTGTCAACGTCAGAAACAAAAAATCAATAGGGATACACACAGCTAAACCAAGAAGGCCTTGTTTGAAGGGAATTTTCTATTTTGATCATCAGAATTTCTTGACTTCAATATGCATCAAGATCCTGATATCTCCAACACAGGGGCAACACGTGTCTGACCAATTTACGCAAGATACAATATATATCCTTTAACATCACGTATCAATAAAGATCCCTTTTTGTTTCCTATGGAACATCCTTTTTTCCTGATTTGCATGAAATGTTTAATAATCTCAGTATGATGTAATGCAAACAAAGTGTTATTGAAACTGTTAACCAAACAAGAGGCAAAGAGGGCCTGTATTGCTCACCTGGATATTTAAGCAAGCATGGCCAATACATGTACCGTATTTTACAGGCAATAAGCCCCCTCCCCACTTTGGTAAATGTCCTGGGAACAGGGTGGGTGCCTGCCATTAAGCCCCCCCCACCCCCCGTGCTTTAAAAAAGGACGTTTTGAATATAACCAATTGTTGGACTCCTATCTTTTTGCAGGTGAAAAAACGTGAAGTCGTTTGGAGAGAAAAAAAACGAAAGTTAAAAAAAACATTTACTTGTGTCTGTGTTGTTTCTTTAAAATTTGCATCAACAGGTAGATTTAGGTCGTGTAACACCTTTCAAATTTTACAATACTGATAAAAACAACGCAATTATAAAATGACAATTGGTTAATTAGATCACAGGTACGGTTCAATTGTAACAACAACTTGTGATCACTGATAAGACACTTGTGGTTATAGACACAAGAAACCCCACACTGAATTCACAATAGCGTAGCTGTGACACGTTGAGGAGATTCTGACATGTTGAGTTCCAAGCCGTATTCAATCTAGTTTATGATTAAATCATTGATAAAAAAATTGAAGAAATAAATTGACCCAAAACGTATCAATGTCAATGTCCATATCGGGCTCACCTGCAGACGACATGTGCGCCTTGGTCCGCCGATATTTTCCTGTTTGCGTAGGGCACAAAGCCGTTCATTGGGAAGTTACATATTATGTTACACCGAAGTATTTCCACATCAACCGTGTCAAACCCTTCAAAACCTTTATCATTATCGTAGGTGACGCTGGAGAATAAATGTTTACCATCATATTCATCGCTTCAATCTACACGTCCCCCATTTTTATGACTTTTTTTTTTCAATTTGAAATTCTCTCGCACACCTTTGGTCACTACTAGGGTACACTGCGGGGAATATCGAAAGTAATGACAAAACAACCAATCAGAAGCCTTCTTCTATACACGTTCAGGTTTGGTATAGCAACAACCCGACTTCACACTTCCTGGCTACCGATCAAAACCTACAGACCGAGGAAACCGCATATGCCATGCGTAGCACTGACAACCTGACTTTTCAAAACAGCATATGCTGTGCGTAGCAGCTTAAGGGTTAACAAACATGAAATTTTATTTGTGTCTTCTGATTATTTGTACAATTACATGAACTTTTTATGTTGAAATATTTACTGGACACTCAACAGTAGAGGCAAGATAAAATCCAAGATGGCGGACCATGTTGAAATTATGTGAACAGGGGGGTTGCTCGCAATTAAGCCCCCCCCCCCCCCCCCCCCCCCCCCTTTTTTTCCTCTTTTTTTTTTTGGGGGGGGGGGGGGGGGGGGGGGGGGGGTCTTTTTGCTGGTAAAATATGGTACATAAAAAGTGGTATTATAAACATTTCTTGGCTTCAGAACTTAAGTCTCTCTGGTCCGAAGGAGGCTTCAGAGTAAATCTACTACAGATCCATATACATGGGTACATATAGGGCTGGATCTCAATAATTACCATGGAATGTTCAGAAAATAATAATCTAGGATGAGGCCAGATTCTGGAGTTAGGGCGAGGCCAGATTCTGAAGTTAGGGTGAGGCCAGATTCTGGAGTTAGGGTGAGACCAGATTCTGGAGTTAGGATGGATGATGCCAGATTCTGGAGTTAGGGTAAGGCCAGATTGTGGAGTTAGGGTGAGGCCAGATTCTGGAGTTAGGGTGAGGCCAGATTCTGAAGTTAGGGTGAGGCCAGATTCTGGGGTTAGGGGGAGGCCAGATTCTGGAGTTAGGGTG